TCGTTGCATTTTCGTAGTCTCCGCTTACGCCCCAACAGACTGCAGTTCGGATGAATTAAAAGATGACTTCTACCGGAAACTGTCTAATTTGCTGCAAAAAGCAAAACGTTCAGACATAGTTGTTTTAGCAGGCGACATCAATGCCCAAGTAGGGAAGTTGTGCCAGACTGAGAAGTATGTAGGTGGTACGTATGGAGTTCCATGCCGACGAACCGACAACGGTGATCGTCTTCTTCAGTTTTGCTCAGATAATCATCTATTCCTAGTCAGCACTAACTTTAGGCACAAAGACATTGTGTAACCTGGCGACCTCCATCAACAAATCAACGCAGGACTCAGATAGACCACACAGCGATAGGGTATCGTTGGCGAGGGTCAGTAGAAGACTGTCGTTCCTTCTGGAATAGGTGCGTAGACTCTGATCACGCTCTGGTTCGCGCACGTTTATGCTTACGACTAAATGGACATAAGAAATTGACGGCAGCGAAACAGTTACGTCCCCAACTAGATAGAGACACTGAGTCCTTATTTAAGGAAGAAATAGCGAAACGAGTTACTGAGGGCGACAGCAGGAGTTCCCCCGAGGTAGCCTGGCACAACATAGAGTTAGCTGTGGACACAGCTGTGAAAACTGTCAATAAGCTAAAACCTAAAGTTAATAAAAGCCATTGGATCTCTACCGCCTCATTCGAACTGATTGACGCAAGAAGACTGATTCCAGCGAGCTCCGAATTCAATAAGGAGCGAAAGGTACTTAAACGAAGACTAACGAAAAGTCTTCGCATGGACCGTGAACAGTGGTGGGCGACAAAAGCGAAAGAGATGGAAAAGGCATCAGCGATAAGCAACACCAGACAACTATTCAGGCTTATCAGGGAAACAGGTGGCAAAAGGCAAATGATAAGCGAAACAATCTCGGAGAAAAATGGCACCATAATTAGCTCCCAGGATACACGACTGGAGCGCTGGAAAGAACACTATGAGGAGCAGTTTAACTGCCCTACAGCCACACTTAACCTGCCGAATATCCAACACCTCCCTGAATGGGATATAGACACAGGTCCTCCGTCCCTAACTGAGGTTACTAAAGCTGTCACCAATCTGAAGCTAGGCAAAGCAGCGGGACCTGATGGATTGACTCCAGAGGTATTTAAGTACGGTGGAGACAGTTTACTGTCTGCATTAACTGAGGTTCTAGGCAGCGTCTGGGAAACAGAGGAAGTCCCATCGGGTTGGTGTAAGTCACTGATCATCCCGATATACAAGAAGGGAGACAAGTCTTCTTGTGATAATCACAGAGGCATTAGCTTGACGAATATAGGATCTAAAATCCTAGGCTCAATAATACTGTGTAGACTAAGTGGTGCTCGGGAGACACAAACACGAGAAAACCAGGCAGGTTTTAGGCCAGGAAGAGGGTGTATTGATCATATCTTCACCCTTCGACAGATTCTAGAACATGGGCATTCCTACTGGCGTCCAACAATCATTATATTTCTTGACCTAAAGGCGGCATTCGATTCTGTCGACCGGGAGGTTCTCTGGCGATGCTTGGCTGTAAAGGGAATGCCAAGAAAATACATTGCACTGATTAAGGCACTCTACTCGTACTCATGCAGCCAGGTGAGGGTTTATGGCGAGTTGTCATCTGAATTGGTGACGACTATTGGCGTCCGTCAAGGATGCCCATTATCCCCATTCCTATTCAATTTCATCATAGACGTACTAATGGACTTAACCCTATCACACTTCAGCGACTCAGGGATTGACTTGCTACCAGGGAATAATCTCGTTGACTTACAATATCCGGACGATATAGTCCTTCTAGGCGAGGACTCTGACAAAATGCAGAGTCTACTGAAAACCTTGAGCAACAATCTTCGTATGTTTGGCATGCCACTCGCCCTTGTGAAATGTAAGATGATGTTACAGGATTGAACTACACCGACTCCTATATTAGAAAAAGGAAGTGAAGTGGTAGAGCACGTTCACCGTTTCACTTATTTGGGAAGTACCATCAGCCCCAACGGGTTGATCTCTGACGAAATCTCAACACGAATACAGAGGGCTAGTTCCGCATATGCCAGTTTACGCCGTCTCTGGCGTAGACGCGATATCTAGCTGGCTGTCGACCAAAGGGCGTGTGTACTGCTCATCAGCTCGCTCCGTCCTCCTTTATGGCTGTGAGATCTGGCCATTAAGAATGGAAGACACACTTAACCAGCTTGTTAATATTTTGGTTGACAGGCACATGGACTCATGTGAAAAATGGGCCAAATCCATTTTATCTAACTCACACCACCCTCTTCATTCACAACTCTCCCCTTCCATCTCATCAGGTAAAACCAGAAGCCTACATAAAAAACTATATCCTCGCACCAGCAAGTACAAAAACTCAACCACACCCTACTTAGCTCGTGTTCTGTGTGATAAAGAAAGCATTAGGCGTGACACCTATAATTCATTAAATAGTCATTAGTACAACTGGATCTCATCTTTCCAACCCACTTCATCAATAGGTACAACATTTTCTTTCTTTCTGTTCCTTTTCTCTCTTTTCTTTTTCCGTTATGTGCTGCTTTGTCTCTTTCTCTCGCTTACGCCAGTTAATAAGACAGCTCCCACTTTTCTAACACCTTCAAACACTGTTTCAGCTTTACCTTTGCTACTGACATGCCAATGTATTGTTGTAATAATGAACTGTTGGTTTCCTCAATCTATGTAGAATTCTATTTATTGATAATGTACTAACTGGATGCAATACTGTAGTAAAAATGCTGAGAATTCCATTCTGTATCACAAGTACTGTTTTGGAATAAAGCAAATTATTATTATTATTATTAAAAAAAAAGACATGAAAAGGCTGGCTAGCTGTCTTTGATCATAGGTGTCTGCGTTCTATCTCCCGCGTGAAGTGGTATAATAAGGTGAGCAATATTGAGGTTAGGCGTCGAGTGCTAGGTAAGGCGGGGAAATCAATTGACGAGACTGTGAAATTACATCGACTGAGATGGTTAGGACATGTGTTACGTATGCCTAGTCATCGCCTTCCCCGACGGGCAATGTTAGCTGATATAGGACCAGGCTGGAAAAGAGCTAGCGGTGGTCAAACGAAAACATGGCACCAGTCAATGAAATCTACAACAGTTAGTCTAAGCCACGTAGGAAGGTGCAGACTTCCTGGTTGGGGTCCTCGGGACGGTGAAAACCAATGAAGGCTGGAAACAATTGGTGACATGGCTCAAAACCGTTCTCAATGGCTGGTGCAGATGCATCCACTCCTTGTGACTTATGATTTCCAATGAAGCTGTTTTGTTCTTCTTTATTACTATTCCTTTGTCTCACACCTCTGTTTACTGTCTATATTATGCATTTCTTCTACTTTCTTCTCTTGCTTTGTGTGCTACATGGAGTGTGACGACTTGAACTGCCGCACATATGTGCAAAGTTCTATGTCGAAAACAGGCAGACAGACAGAATAGCTATTCTGATTGGTTGGCGATCCGACAGAGAACAAGGTGAAACGAAAGATGATGAATTGATCACACAATAAATCACAAAATTCGTCAGAAAGGATGACATACTATTTTATGCTGGTTCCTATTAATATATATGTAAAACTTGGGCACTGTGCTACTAAGTAATTCCATATTAGCTTGTTTATAATATGGATATATCACATAGTGAAGCAGTATTATTATATACTGGATGATGTTTCGAATACAATCTATTATTGTTCATAATCATATCATCAATTATAGCTACACGACTTCGAAACTTGAGTTTTATAGTTGACTTTGTTCTCTCCTATTCATCGTCGTAGGGGTAGTAGAATTTTCCAGAAATCCGGGTGGACAGGTGTTGAATCAATTCCCATTACACGTGTTTGCAGTTGATTCGATAAGCAAAGCTTCTGTTATCAGTCTCCCCTTCCACCCTGCTGTGACATAAGATTTTAAAACTGTCATCTTATCCCATCCTGTTGTATGGTTGTGTGCAATTGCATGTAGTGAGCGCTATAGCTGTTGAACTATTCTACAGATTTCTTATCTTATTCGAGTCAACCAATCTAGATTTTGCTAGGTTTTTATGCTCGGCTAGTCTGACTGAACCTGTTCTACTAGTTTGACCTGAAAATTACAGCAGGCAGGGTATTAGATAAACTAAATTGTTTTGTTTTAAAGGATCCACAGGATTGATCCTCTAACCGACAAAGCTTGTTTCTAATTGAGTTTGTGGGGGGTTTGAATGACAGCCACTTTTATTCCTGCCTTGTTAAGAATTCTCTGTAAGGTTTCCGAGGTTCCCTCTTTGCATGGGAGCACAAGTGATGATTTAGATTCCTCATTGTAGGTGTTGTCATTATCCTGTGCGTGTTTGGCATGCATGTCGTCAATAGTAATACTATCATTATAATTATAACTAGTATCATTATTTATTTTATTTTTGCATTTCCCTACATACTTTCTGACTAACTTATCAGGGTAATTATCAAGTTTCAAAGCTTCTCTTATATGTCTCACTTCCTGTCTTAGATTTTCCTTGGTAATACTTAGTTTTTGTGCTCTATTATTACCTAAACATTCCACCAATCCTATTTTCACTGACATACGATGGGATGATCGGAAGTCCAAATATCTGTTTGATTGTGTGTTTAACTCCGCATCTTCTTTCTTTTATATGTTACAATCTAACTTCGGAATTTCCCTTTCCTGAGTTTCCAATTCATAAGTGTGATACATCTAATAAACAAACCAATATGCTGGTTCCTATTCATTCACGTAATGAGATCAAGCTTCTGAAGACTCCCCGAAATAGGATGAAACAGCTGGCCATCCAGTACTCCCAACTGGTTTTCAATGATTCCCTTCTAACTAACATCAATCCATGATCAAAACTTGAAAAAAGAGTAATAATTTATCCGAAAAATTAATATTTTGGTTCATATATTTTTTTTGGTTTGAATGTAAACTCTCAATGAATAATGAATAGAACTTTATGCAGATGGAATGTTGTAACATTGGCAGTAATAACAATAATAATAACAATAATAGTAATAATGTACTGCTTATGACATAACAATGCTTACGTAATCACTATAATAATAATAATAATAATAATAATAATAATAATAATAATGGCTACTATTGTTTAGTGAATGAATTCACAACAGTATTTAATTGTTTACATACAGTCAGTGCAAGTGTTTTACACGATGTACTATGTGATACTGATTGTAAAATTGATTTCAAGGAATCTATTGTATCATGAATTTTGGCGGAATCTCTTACTGTAAGACATGAACTGGCTGACATGATGCCCAAGAGTTGCAGGAAATGAGGTAAATCCTTGAGGAGAAACCAAAGTATGAATAATAATAATAATAAGAAAATGAGAATATTATTTATCAATGTGGAATAAATTATTAACAAAATGCACTTTGTAGGTTCACAGAAAGATGTTTGTCTGTCGGCTTTCTAGCACTACTACTCATAATGACACCACCACCTGCCAAGGTGCTCAATCATCTCACACGACATTCACCAGATGGACTGTGATCAAACGGTGATGTTGAGTAAAGGGTTTGTTTCAAGCTTGACCACGAATTAATATCAGTTAGGAAACCATTAGATAAGTAGTAAGTAATGGACAGCAGATGTTTCGTCCTAGTTTGTGACACTTCAGAGGTGCAGACGCCCACTAGGATTCGAACCAGGGACTTGGTTTTCAATGGTTCTCTCTCTAACTGACATCAATCTGTGATCAAGCTCAAAGGTTTTAGGATTATTAATAAGCAAGGTAATAAAAAAGCTCATTACATAATCAGATTAACGAAGCCGGATTAATGTATACACAATACACCATATACAGTAGGTAGCTTAAATCCACATTTGTAGCATACTTTGATCTGCCCTTTATGATTTCCTCCCTATTTCCCCCTCCTTTTTCTCTAATTTCACAATTCACGACCGAAGCGCAATCCTGTAATGATATCATCAATAGTTTCAATATACTATGCCAGATTAAATGTCAAATAGATGGTGTAGTTTATCGACAGTCCACTTAGTTCTATTTTAGTAGACCTCGAAAGAACAAAACTGAAGTCTGTAGCCGACGAAATAACTTCTTATTGTTGATATGTCGACAACACATTTGAAGTATGCGACAGTGGAAATCACGCTTCCTACTTACTCGGATTATTCAGCGACGCACGCCAACACACACACACACACATGCAAACATTGAAATCATTATGGAGTATGAAAGTGATCGAAAACTTCAATTCCTTGACATTACCGTATATAACGCCAGGAGTATGGTAGTGTCTGCAGAGATTATCAATTTACTGAAAGGCTACATGGAAACGACACTACTACTCACATTTTAATAGTTTTCATCTAAATGGTTACATAAACAAGCACCGGTTAATAACCCTGTTTTACAGACAGTTAGAAGAACACGGTCTACAGAAAACTTAGAGAAGGAATTTCTTAATTCTCATTAATTTTGAAAAATAAAAATATTACCCTGAGAAATTTATTAACAAGCACGGAAGACGTGAAGGTTCATAGGTTAAACAAATCACAGTGGAAAAAAGTGCCTGTCTTCACTCAAATTTATTTTAAAGGTGATATTGCAGGAATAATAGACAAAAGATTGAATGTATCACTAGCCAGAGTCTGCCCTGCAGCTAAGCTGGTTTCTTTCTATCGGACGACATGCTCCTTGGTGCAATCAAAGTTCGAAAGATACTCTCCTCACGTTAACTGCAACTGTGTATATAAGTTTGGATGTGTCTGCCGAGGGGCAGTTACATTGGGAAAACAGAAAGAAGGGCACACCTCCGATTTTCTGAACATGTACCGAAAAGCCTACATCCCAAGGGAACAAATGCTTTCAACAGTGCCATTGTCAGGCACTTCCTTGACATGGGTTATGAGGTGGACGTCGTAAGATGCTTCAGAATAACCAATAGGCAAAAGAGTTCAATTCTCCTCAGGTTTGCCGAAGCAATCTCCATCAGGTGCCTGAAACCCGATTCATGAGTTCAGAAAGGAGCGGTTATCAGTCCTTCCTTGCCCTGCCTGGTAACTGGATGTTTTCATCCTGTCTTTCATCTGATTACGTAACGCCAAAAAATTACACTGTGTATGATTACTATTGTCTGGGATAAAGTGATTATTATTACTATTACAATGCAAATTTTCAACACAGATGTTACATCACCACTTCAGCTGAGTTCAGAGACTTGACACTAACGGCACAAAGGAGGTCCTAACAGCTATCTTTGCTTCATACTGAAGATCAGATAGACACGAAAGATAAGCAGCAAGGAGTGGTGATGGTTAGCGAATCGGCCAACAAAATATTGACCAACAAAAATGGCGAAGAGAATGGAGAGGTATTGGACATACACTGATGGGACCTTCAACAGACGCTATACATCCACATCCTCGAGTGAAGCCCGAAGAGGCATTGACGGACTTGATGTGGGTCCTCCAAGTGTGAGATAGAGAAGGTCATTTAAGGTGGAAATGAAAGCAATGACAGTGGACGGGAATCCAATAGAGACGTTCCACAGAATCCTTATTTTTCATTTGTAACGTAAGGAACGTATAATAATAATAATAATAATAATAATAATAATAATAATAACATGCGTGTAAATGAAAAGAGAAAAAAGGATATTTTTCTCTGTGCATTAAATATGTACTGAATTATTATTTTCTCTCTTCCTTTTCTTCAAGTCGAATATATAAAATGTGATGGTGACTCCCGTCGATGGTAAGATTCTCTGGGATAGCTTTATGACGAAAGACTACTACTTCCTATTCACGGCTGGTGAGAATTGGATCAGTGAACCAGGTAGATATAACAATAAGACAACTATCTATTATTATCGTCTCCTGTAGTTCCTAGAGGAACATAGGGATTCAGCCGCACGTCCCCACTGAGTTCGGTTCTCCGCGAACGTTTTCACCTGGCTCCACCTCTAACCATATGCTTTCATCTCCTCTTCACATCACCTCCTCCACTCCACTTCACCCTCGCATTGACAACCAACTCGCCGCTTCCCTTTCGGGTTCCACCCGAGAGAGAGCCTGGCATGTGATGTCACTTGATAGTTTCCTCAGAGTATGGCCAATCCACCTCCATTTCTTCCCGCATATTTCTTGCACAATTGGTTCCTGATGGGTTGGTTCGTTCATTGCCAGAGATCACTCCCTGTTTCTGATGTTTTCTGGCCGGCCATCCGATCTTGACTGAAGTATTGGGCGAAGACAGAGGTTTATGAAGGCCTGTAGTTTGTCCGAAGTGCCCTTCGTGACGCGGCGCCAAGTCTCTGATCCGTATAGCACATAGCACTGAATTCCCATTGGAGTTGAAAATCAGCATCTTATTTTCATTTTTCATGCTAAGTAGTGCTGTTGATCACCACACAGGACTTCAGAGTAAGATAAGCTTGCCTTACTACTACTTACTAGTAATGCAAAAAAAGTACAAAAAGAGACATTTTATCATTGAATAAAACTTACCTCAGAATCAGGTTCTAAATCGCGTAATTGTCGATTTATCACTTCAATAATCACTTCAAAATCATTATGATAGATCAGCACTGAAGTATCCGGAGAGTAGAATAAATCACAAAGGAATTTGATCACAGTATTTGTAGGCATAGTTGTTGAATTGACATGATGATCAGACAGTACTGGCTTGTTGTCAGTCAGCTCTAAAGAGCTGCTTTGATGACGACAGCCTAGATTAGAATTCCACAGACTTTCAATATATTCTAAATCATCATGAGTATTATTGTCAGTGCGTGAATTAGCTTCAAATATTTTTAAAAACTCCTCTAAACCTTTAGCTGTAGTGGCAGTAGATGTATCATTAGTGCAACTGTCATGTATATTGGACTGACAAAAGTTAACCCATTGGATTAGACAACTTTCTCTGTCATCATTTTTATGCTTTGGAAGGAAAGTCACCATAAATGTCGGGTCGACTGAAATTAGAAACCAAAAAACACAAACATTGTAGATTGCTTACGTATGAGATAAAATTTCATATAAGAATAAAACTTGGGCACTGTGATAGAGTATAATTCCATTATGGGTAACATTTATTTTGATAAATCACACAGTGGTGTTATACAGTAATATTAACTGATGACCACCTTTCGAGCACAAACTATTGCCACTCATAATCATATCAAGTCACTCACACAACTCCGTTTATATAATTTCACTATTTTTCATCGCTTGATTTGATTGGTAGTAGTATTCTCCATATTTCCGGTATGAGTGATGAGTCATTGCATCCTACTGCATGTGTTGGGTGTAAATTCGATGAACCAGGATTCAGTAATCAACTTCTCTCCACCTACCTATATTACATCTTAGAATTTTAACCCTCTTCCACCCTATTGTGTTGTTTGTGTGTTAATGCATGCATTGCAATGCAGTGCTGAGTTTTTTTTCTAAGTTACTTATCTTCGTGAGATCAACCATTCTTACCTTGGCTAAATTCTTATGTTCCGACAATCTGACTACTCCCGCCCGATCTACTAGTTTGACCTATGTAGTTGACCTCACTCACAGTCATTGCAGGGTATTTTGTAAATTATATTATTTTGTCTACTTGAGTGAGTTTATAGGTCTGAATGCCACCCTAATTCCTGCCTTATTAAGAATCATACACAGGGTCTAAGATGTCCCCTCCTTATATGGTAAAACTACTGTAGACGGCTTATGTTCTTTCTTATTTATGTTATCATTACTAGTTTCACAATTATTCTTATTTTGGCCTTTTTCAATCTTTCTAATGAATTTTAAAGGATAGTTATTTAACACCAACACCTCTTCTATCTGTTTTATTTCATCATTAAGGTCTTTTTTCGTGCTACTTAGTGCCATTGCTCGATTTGTTAAACACTTAACAAAGCCTGCCTTAACAGTTAAAGGATGAGATGAATTAAAGTCTAAATATCTATTAGCAGAACGCGTTGGTTTTCTATAAACACTAGTGTGTAGTTTACCTTCTTCCATTCGTTTTATTTTACAATCTAACCTCACAGCTAATTCTCCTTGCTCATTTTCGGCTTCAAATGTGAGTTTTATTCCCTCCACTAGTGAGTTTATGTGTGTCAAGAAGCTAGAGATAAGTTCTGCTTTTAACACTGTGTGAGAAAGTGTCATCCACATATCTCCACGATATTTTTGGAGTAGGATTAAATGAATGTACTAAGAGCAATCTTTTCCCAGCTGTCCAAAAATATATCTGCTACGACTGGGGATATTGGTGATCCTATTGCTACACCTTCAGTTTGTCTATATTATTTTGCCTTGGAATTTAAAGATAGATGTGAGTCATAACTGAATTCCTAAAATAATTTTCTCAATGGGCAGCTTCGACCTATGAGTGGGTTCAGGATCTGCAGTTAATTCTTTTTTAACTGCTTCTAAGGCTGCCATATTGATTGGCATATTAGTGTACAGACTAGTTATATCAAAACTGACCATTCTTTCATTATTCTCTAATTGAATGTTATTTAGTTCCCTTTTCATTTCATATGAATCAGTTAGTCTAAAGTTTGAACGATTTCCAATGGGGCATAATATTAGAGCTGAGGGTTTTCATAATTCATAAATAGGGGTATTCCTGAAATCTACTATTGATCGTATGAGGTAACCTGGTCTATGTATTTTAATAGTACGATGTATTCTACTAACATTGTTAGTTTTAGGCATTAAATTAAACCATTGAGAGTCATCTAGTGACGGCTTCATTCTGCGTATTGAATCCGCTGTAGATTTTTTAACCTTAGTCATTATTGTATCTAGGGACTTCTTAATTTCCTCATATGGACCTATCTCAATATGTTCAGTGCTCGAAACGTCATCAGTAAATATTACTGTATAGCACACTGTCAGACCTTATCAAAACAAATTTTACCCATAATGGAATTTTTTCCCTTCACGTTCCTAGTGGAACATACGGCTTCAAGCTAGTGGCCTGAAGTTTCTGTAGCAGAGTTTATTTTACAGGATGGGGTTGCTAGCCTCATGCCCAACCTTTCCTCTTCACCAGCACTATTTCTGGCTTAGCGAGGTAAAGGAGTGCGTCGGCTGGGGATCGAACCCCGGACCATATGCAGGGTCGGCGAGCGTCCTAACCGCTATGCCACCGACGCACCATAATGGAATTACATAAAATTTATTTTAAATATCACACAGTGATTACCCTGTATTAACAAAACCAGCATTTATAGGAAACCGACACACACACACATTCTAATGCACCCGGAATCAGTAAAGAAGGGTTTAGTTAAAATGTCTGTTTAATCGGGCCAAGTGCCTAACTAACTCGTAAGCCGGAAGATTTAAATAATGAAATCAAACAAATTAAGGAAGTAATACTGGTGAACAACTAACTACCTACCAGAATTCATTTGAAAATATATGAAGAACCATAGAAAATCTAAGATTAGTAATAAAAATGACGAAAATAATAAAGAATTCAAAGCCTCTGTAGTACTGCCGTGTAAAGAAGAAACGTCAAAGGCTTTACGTAGGATTCTCAATGATGCTGGGATTAGTCAGGGTGGCATTTAAATCTATCCACCAACGAACTCTCTCTCTCTTATAAATAAACTTTGTCGGCTTAAGGAAAAATTAATGCAGTTTACCAAATACCGTGTAATGCTGACTGTGAGGTCAATTCCATAGGTGAGTCAAACTAGTAGATCGGGGTCAATTGGATTACTGGAACATGAAGCTTTAGCTAGACATAGAATAACTGACCCTGTTTAATTAAATAACCTTTAAAAATGCTCGGTTATCACACAATAGAATGGGCGGGACAGGGTGAGTATAAAAAGTAATATAATTACGTGGGAAGAGGGAAAGGTTAATCACTGAAGCTTTGTTTATCGATTCCACACCGTGCGCATGCAATTGGAATGACATATCGCTTCTACCGGGGATATGGAAAGTCGCAACAAACACCAAGGGGAGGTTGGAGAGAGAGAGAAAGTATATACATTGTGAGAGAAATTGTGAAGCCGTGTGATTAAATTGATATGATTAGGAGCAATAATCTACACTCGAAACATTATCATCCAGTTGTGAATATTGCATCACTCACTCACTGTGTGATGTTTAGAATGAAGTAATCTAATATGGAATGAAATTCTACCGTAGTGCCCAAATTCTACACTTAAATTAATGTTTCCGTGGCATTCATCAATCCGAGTTACTTCTTGGGACGACGAAAGCTCCGCAACAAAAACCAACCAGCTCAGAGAACACTACTAATTGCAAATCATTCACCTGAAATACAAATCTTCTCTATCATTTCAAAAAAAATAGGACATTAGTAAAACTGAACAGACAAAGCTAAGCTTACGCAATTCCATTATGGATAAAATTTTATTTCGATGATAAAGTCTCACAATGTGTGCTATACAGTGCTATATTTACTGATGACCACGTTTCGAGAACTATTGATTCCTGCTCATAATCATATCAACGCACTACTACTCGCATAACTTCCATGACTTCTCATCTCTTGATACGGTTGGTGGTCATATTTTCCAGATCTCTGGTATTGATGATGAGTCGTTCCCTATTGTAAATCCGATCACCACCACGACGTCAAGGTAGCAAGCAGCCACAGGTCTTCACATTAGACAAAGGTCTTAAAGCTGATGAACTCACAACCAGCACAGCACCGACAATTTCACAATAAGAAGGGGTCGAACTCAAAACCTGCTGGTGACAATTAGTTGAGCTGGTCGAACAAATCAATAAATAAATACAAAAAAAAAGAAACGTATTGATTATTACAACTTACAATTACGATTGAATGTCTGAATAACTATTTCAAGGAAAAGACGAGATGATATTGATTCACTGAGCAATGCTTCCAATAGAGGACTTTTCACACAGACAGAATCAGCAGGATCATTTTTAGACGGAGAATTGATTGTGTAGACTGAACTATTAAAATGCCAATTACACGCTAAGAAAAATACTGTTACAGTATATGAAAACATTTCACACTGGCGACTTTGTTCATTAGAGTTGCTGTTATTTTTATTATTATTAATATTATTATTACCACTATCCCCATTAGCATCAGCACTATTATTATTGCTTGTAATTGAGAGTTCACGATGATCAGTAAAATTTTCTAAATCGATTAAATTTGAACTAGTTGAACTCGTTGAATCGCATAATTTCATTAAATGACTGAAAAGTTCTCGATCAAGAGATGCTGAAAAAAAGAAAAGAAGGCAATATTTGCACAATATTAATTGTACACTACAAAGTAAGCGTAAGCTGGTAAACACTTACAATTTGATCCGTGTGTAACTCGCTCCACCCCACCCCACTATCCCCTCACTGTATACTATTACTCTGCAACCTTCTACCGTCAGTTTGATTCATTCTCTCATGAGCTTCCAACAGCAAGTCACATTATAAATCAGTGCTATCTACAGGCAAGTTAACAAGGACTCGTTTTTATTACGTAACTCCTCTACCATAGTATGCATACGCTTACTTTAAAACAATTAGTCCCTTTTATAAATTTGGATAGTGTTATTGGAAGAAGGAGATTATCTGAAAAATGTAATGTGACATATTTGCGCTATACATTATTATAATATTGGTTGCATAAAAAGTCTTTTTGACAGCAGCGTTCAGTCTTTGTCTAGTTATCAAGCTGCTTTGATGCCCCATATAGGGTAGCTTGATGATGGAGCATCAAAGCAGCTTGATAACTAGACAAAGACTGAACGCTGCTGTCAAAAAGACTTTTTATGCAGCCAATATCATAATAATAGAGAATGTAAAGCCCTTCGAACATGCGAAAAGTGACGTCACATCCCACTGTATTTACCAATTTGAATGTATGTGTGGACACACACATAGGGAGGACTCATCGATCTCTGCAAGTAAGGGCTTCAGAGAATATAACTAAATGGCTCCAGAAACAAATGGAATCTTTAGAACCTATTAACGATGAGAACAGGAGGCCTAGCTCCTTTATTGCGAAACATATTATAGAGACAGGACATAAAATTGACGTTAACAGCTCTTTTAAACCTACCTATAAAACGTGTTTGGGGCGTATCCTAAAGTTTGTGGAAGCCCTAGCAATTAGAAAGTTTAAGCCACCTTTATGCGTTCAAAAACAATTCATCATCACATTAAACCTTACTTGGTAAATTTTGTTTTGATACCATAGCAGATGTACTATTACCTCTGTTATTTGGTTTAGTGGTCTTCATTGTTACTTTGACCTTGAATATGTCCTTTAAACTTGACCTGAGTCTATTTTCCCACCTCTTACCTCTTTATTAATTTCATATATTTAGATAAAGCAATAAGAAGGCGTAATTTGTCTGAATCATGTCATGTGTATTTGCGCAACACATTTCGAACAATCTGATCACACACGGACTTGTCATAGGAATATATATGAAATTAATAAAGAGGTAAGAGGTGGGAAAATAGACTCAGGTCAAGTTTAAAGGACATATTCAAGGTCAAAGTAACAATGAAGACTACTAAACCAAATAACAGAGGTAATAGTAAATCAACTATGGTATCAAAACAAAATTTACCATCTATGCTATAGACGAAGTTGGTAGTCTGACACCTGCGTCTATTGATTTTTCCACAATCCATTTGTTTTTCCGACCATTTCGAGATATGCTCTCCTACCCTCACATGCAAAGCACGATTACTCCTCCCTATGTATGTGTGACCACAAACACGAAAATTGGCAAATAGTGTGGGATGTGACATAATCACTTGTGAACTTTTGAGGTTTGCAGTCGAGCATATTTTCGGATTTTTCAACAATTACAAGCCGGGCTGCATAATAGGTCAAGGGTACTTATTGAAATACACCCAGGCTTTAGTTATTCATAAACTTAAGCCCCCCCCCCCCTGTGTATTCAAAACCAGTTTAATATTACTCTTAACCCACCTACCTTGGTAATCCTTATTTGATTGGATTACCAAACGTTGTGTTAACTATTCTTAAATCCTTTTTTCTCTCACTTTGTTTAATTTAACTGCCCTTAATTTTTTCATATATATCGACTTGACAAGTAAATGTGTGATTAAATTGTTCGAAATGTGTAGCACAAATACATCACAATTTTCAGATAATCTCCGTCTTCTAATAACACTATCCAAATTTATAAAAGGGACTAATTGTTTTAAAGTAAGCGTATGCATACTATGGTAACGGAGTTACGTAATAAAGACGAGAGGTACGTAAAATGATGAGTATACTAATAAATTGGGTGACAATGTGGTGAGTTCAACTCAAATCATAGAAACAGGAGACAAACCAAATTACACTATATCAAAGGGGGGAGGGGAGGTTAAAACTTTAATAATTTATTTAGGCTACGAGGAGATGGTGAGAAGCCAACGAAATAAGCAATGATGGTACCATATTATTCTGTAAAAACTGCTGTTCTTGCTTTATTCTAACTCATAGATGTTAGTAACAATATATCTAAGTTTTGAAGGAAGGGTGAAAGTTATACAATCACTTAATTACGGAATTCAAGATAAGTTAATTCGTAGGGGGTTAGCAACAAGTCATTACATAATCAAGGAGTTTGTAAGATAATGACGACTCGCAAGAATTACGTAAAATTCAAACAAATTGATAGAATTAGCTAGAATTGTAAATAAGATAACAAAGTCAAAAGATGGTTAGTTACAAGGGTAGAGGAAAAGTAATCGACTTTCAAAACTTAATAAATCTTATGTAGCTGGGGCCATGGCAAACAAAAGGGCTGTACAAATTTCTTTTGAACTCACACACAGATTTGGCTTGTCCAGATGAATACCGACCGCCTCTGCTGCTGTATGTAAAAGTTACATTCGTAGAGCATGTGGCGAATAACTGGTTGAAATACAAAAAATACCTTTGAAAACCTGGTTAGACTCAACTTGATGAGCTAGTGTATTGTGCTGAGGATAGCAGCTTTATTCGAACCTTTACTATACCAAGATGGGAGGTATTCAGAAATTCGATGGTGAACTTGTTTGATCGTACGCTCAATGTAACTAGCTTCACACGAGCAGTTAAACTGGTAAATACACATGGAAGAGGCGAAACAGGGCAGTTTGTCTTTTTTTGTTGAACTAAGTATTCGTCGGCTAGTGAATACGCAGCATAGCTTAGCTGAATTGAAAGTCCTTTTGAAGGTCCTTCTACCGTTAGTCTTACCCTAAATTTAATCCCAACAGCACTGACTGACTGTGTCGCCCTAGGTATCATGAAAGTGAAAGTGTGGCGGACACTTATAGTAAAAACCAGCCAATCTTTTCATATCCTCTTTCTTCAACCGCCATATGTCGTGGCCGTGAATTAGGAGGGTACATACTGTTTGGCTGGACATCACGTGTGTAATAAATAGGACACAGATCGGCAAATATCCAACCAGTATTATGTATCTGTGCTTAGATTTAATCAGCAACCACGCCATTCGGGCTGATGTAACTCTCCCTTTAGCGGTCAATCCTGATACCGTCGACCTACTTATTATTATCTTCTTGGGTTCTGAGAGCTGCATACGGCCTCAACAGCATATCTCTCCTGTCGTCTGTAGTCTTCCTCATCGGGGCCCACGACTGCGCACCAGCTCTCATTTCTTACTTAACATACGATCTACTCTACATCACCTTTGATCGCCCTACTTGTTGTTCCTCATTCGAATTTCGTTCGAATGATGGCCTGGCGCGTGATGTCACTTAACAGTTTCTTCAGGAAGTGTCCAACCCATCTCCATTTCCTTCAGGAGATTTGTTGGGCAATAGGTTCCTGGTTGATTTATTCTCAGAGCCTATTGGTGGTGTTGATCCTTTTTGGTTACCGATTTTATCTTCAGTAAGGAGCCAGCGAAGTGGGCAGCTGTTGATAAAAGTCTGCAGCAGTCGGTCAGAAATGTTTTTCGTGTCGCAAATTGCAAGTTTCTGACCCACATAGAAGAAGTGACTTAACACTGGCATTGAAGATCCAAATCCTGTTTTTTGTGCTGAGTGCAGGAAATTTTAGAGCGATAAAAGTCTGTCTTAACTTTCCAATTCTGACTGGTTTTAGACTTCCTCCACGTTTGTACCAACTGACTGTAGTTGAAAGTATGTTGGCTAGAAAATTGGAGGAAGTGATCTCTTTGAAATCTCCTCCGTCAATAGTCATTGGTGTTTGCTGCTTGCTGTTGTTGGTTGCTTATCTTCACTACCTCTGTCTTCTCTATATTTGCTTGAAGTCCTGTATACACTACCTGCCTCTTCTGAAAACTTGTTGCTTTTCGTCTGTAGATCTTCGAGTTCTAGTCAGTGAAGTCCAGATGTTCTACTCTTCACGTCAATCCAACTTATGCGAAATCTTATTGCTCCCTCCAGTCCATCACAAACATGGAATATCATCAAGGATAGTAGCCAGCCGCCTTATCTTACTCCCGTCTTCTTTTCAAAGGCTTCGCTGAGTTTTCCGTTGTAGAACTTCGCAAAGAAGTGCACCAAGTCCATATAGTACACATAGAAGGAGGGTATTGTAGTGAGCTATAAGTGTGCGGAAAAGAAAATATTAACATGTAAAGCCATGATGATTTAGTGACCATGGAAAAGATCACAGAGACACTGAATACACCTCAGCTACTGAAAAAGACTTTGAGCCATATCTATCACCAACAGTCTCTAGGTATCACAGGGACCCCAAGTGGGCAGTATACAAACAAGGTCAACAAACAGACACAGGTTTTCCTGGATATAGTAAAATGGATTTCACATCATGAACTGATATCGGTCAGAGAACCATTGGAAAACCACCAGGGAGTATCACCAGACGGCTGTTTTTATTGTCGTAGTTAGGCGCTCTCCTCATGAATGCAACCCCACCCACCCATCAGGGTTCGAACTCAGGGCCTTCTGGTTACAAGGTAAGGCAAGCTCGTAAACCACTCAGCCACTGGGACCTGATCCAATGGCCAGCTCATGAATTCTAACCTCTACCAATTCGTGATTAATTTGGAGCGACTGGCGACTAGCCAATGTCATCGCTAGCAAATGACTATTTTTCCTCACACCCGACCTGCTGGTTTTCCAAGCGATGTAAGACCACGATGAAATCCTATAACCAATCAAACCCTACAAACCAACACTTGAATACAGCTTTTTTTAAATGGTGTGAAAAACAGTTAAAGATTTATTGAAATTCAATAGAACAAGCAAAAAAGAAAGGTTATCCTTACTATATAAATCCACAGGAAGGCTTGGTGAACGCGCAATCAGTATGGACAAAAATCGTAATCTTAAAGCAAGTTGTGGAATTTCTAAAATTACAAAATAAAGTGTAAGAAGAAAAAAAAATTAAAATACAGAAACAATTCACAGATTTTTCTTACGTAAACTGTGTATATTTGATGTATACTCACAGCTGGAGATGATCGGTGAACAAGCTCTAAGATCTCTCTATATATATTGGCACACATGTCAACGACGTGTATATAGTGTCTGCGCACAACCTCAGAGGGACTGAGATCTCCCATTAGATGCGGTGGACTTCTCATTGGTAGAATTCAGTTAGCACTAAGGTCTAGACAATAGCGACAGTGGTTTACTTTTCCACAATCTCCTCGTTCAATGACCAGACACAGTCTATTTTCCATTATAGAAATGGTTTTATTTTGATAAATCACACAGTGGAACATCAGAATAAATTGAACACGTATTTTTCTCGACAAGTAGGAAAGACGGTTTCTTTGGTAACGGACATAAGGCTTTGGTTTGGTTTCATTATGACATCATCTATTCTTATAATGAAACTAAACCAAAGCCTTGAGTCAGTTAGCAAAGAAACCGTCTTTCCTACTTGTCGAGAAAAATACGTGTTCAATTTATTCTGATTTTCCACTATCTCCAATTCAAATGCAAATCTTAGCACTTGGACCCAAGTTTTGTGAAGCAACGTCAAAAATCACACAGTGTTATACAATAACGTTTTGAGCACAAACTATTGCTCATAATCATATCAAGGTATCACTCACACATCTCATGGGAGATCTGGTTCCCTCTGAGGACATGAGTTCCTTCAAAGATGCAGATACGCCTTGCTGGCTGACTGGTGAGTGCCAACTAGCGCGAAACCTAGGTTCAAGGCTTCCTGCCGATTGCCTCCAACTATCTAATATCATCAAATCAATGTGCAGCGTGATGGTGAGCTACCTAGAATGGTTGCCACATTGCAAACTTGAGTGACTGATAGAATTGAGTCTGCACCAAGGAAAGGACTAAACACGTCACACTAGTTACTAGTGTCCAATGAAAATAACACTGAATCGGAATAGCATAAAAAATTGGTAATGATAGTAATACAGAATTGGAGATGGTAGTTAGGAGATTATGGGAAATACGTGCCCAGCTAATGAGGACAGTGGAAAATATAACCAAGCGGAGACGTGCTGTTGAAGCGCTATGTTCCTCTGGAAACCCAAGACGAAACACTATTGAGAATTATAATTTGAGGTAAAAAAAAAGAAAGCAAAACAAGAAAAGTACAATCAATAAAACTGCTTACCCTGTTCTGTAGTGCATCGTATTTCTCGAATGAGTTCATTAGGAAGAACTGATTCAAGACAGATATGAATACAAGCAGAATCTAAAGAACAACATATTCCAATACATCTGAGCAATTTAGCGCGTATTTCTTGATTTGTTTCACGTTGATATAAACCGATTAGAGCACGAACCGATCGGTATTCAGATACACGAAGATAGCATACAACCAATTGATGATCAGATCTTTCCTAAAATAATTGTGATTAAATCATCAGGTGGAAATGAAAAAGTGGAACAGTATTTACTCGTCAATATATCAAGGAATTTATCTAAAAGTTATTTATTATAATCATGGTAAAGAGGGGAATGAAACGTGGCTTGTGAACATTTAATCTTAATTTGTACTGTTGGATCGCTGATGAACTTCTTAGTTATTTCTGCATTATAACCACTTCATCCCAAACAGTAACAATTATACAAAATGGACTATTCAGAATTTTTATACATATTGCAACAATTTAACTCCTTTGATAAATATGTAAGATACATAAATCTTAAAATACTACTACTAATAATAATAATATGAATAATGAAACTACTATAAACAGAAACATTATTATAATAATATTATTATTCCCTTAGGTTCCAAATGGAGCATAAAGCTTCAAAGACACATCTCCACTTTGCTCTATTTTCTACTCTCCTCCTCACTACACGATCTCCTCCGTGTCACCCTCGTACCGACGACCCACGCGTCACTTCTCATTGGAATTCCACTCGGACAATACCCTGGCTGGCACGCGATGTCACCCAACGACCTCCTCGAAGTATGACCGATCCGTCTCCACTTCCTCTTACATATCTGTTGAGCAATCGGCCCTAGGCTGGTTTGTTCACAGCCAGAGTTTCTTGCTGCTAATTCTTTCCCGTGATCTGCCCATTTGATCTTCAGTATGGAGCCAGCGAAGGTAGCTGTTGATAAAAGTCTGCGGTAGCGTGTTGAAAATGCTTTTTGTGATACGCTGGCTGAGTTCCCAACCCGTATAGAAGGACCAACTTGATATCGGTGTTAAAAATCCGAATCTTGTTCCTTATGCTGAGTAAAAGCAGATTTCCAAACTGACTTCAGGTTGATGAGGGAACACCTTGCCTTTCCGACTCTGGCGGGCTTTGACATGTTCATCCGTTCCGTTCCGCCTGTGGTTGAAACTGTGCTTCCTGGGCAGATAAGTGACTTACTTTTTTTTACTTTGCTTCGGCTATCTCCTACGGAAGGATGAGCCGGCTTCATGAACTTCTCAAATCATCGCTACCCAGGCGCAGCGATCTGATGAAGAGAGTTTACGAAGTTTCATGGGAATTTGGTACGAGTGATGTCCCCAGAACCACTCGGCCTTTTGTTTGATAGTGCAGCTCTAGCCTTTACACAACCAAGTGTGACCTACAAGGCAGTAGGAGTGGAGTAGGGAGTCCACTATCCATTGGCAGCCGGTGACCGGAGTTCGGTTCATACACCTTTTTGAATGGGGCCAGACATCCAGGACATCCAACAAGCCCTTTGTCCATACGTATGCCGGTGAGCTCCAGTGAGCTTCATACGCCAGTCGTTGGAGGTTTGAAATCAGGAAGTAACCTCTTTCAAATTATTTCCGTTGATGGTGATTGGTGCTGCTTGTTACCACTGATGCTTTTGGTCGACTGGTTGTATTCATCACCTCCGTCTTCTCTGTGTTCACCTGGAGTCCTGTCTTCTGGTGGGAATATATTGAAGTATAAGCAGATAGTATCATAGATAACACATGCAATAATCATCTTCGCTGTACGTTGCAGTTCAGTTACTGATTTAACTTCTTTTCTGACACTATGCATAAAATTCAATTTTGATAAAATCAAAGTGTTGTTACTGATGACCACATTTCGAGTACAATTTATTACTACTCATAATCATATCAAGGCACTACTCACATAACTTTCTTTTCTGACATTTGACTCTTCACACAAAACCCATGCTAAATATGGTATAGTAGAATTTTTACACTGACTAGCTGCACGAGTATAAATTCCCATGAAATTTCTTCTGGTTTTACCCCCCCTCGAAGATATACAAGGAAAAGGTTGCGAATATTAAAGCGAGTGTTCAGAGTCAGACAAGATAACTTTAGCTAACTGCTTGCAAACATTGAAGGGCCTATCAACAATAATATAATGTCAGTTAGTTGAGTCAAAGGCACACACACACCACTAAATCTGCCTACCTACAGCCTTCAATGTTCTACGTAACATGACAGTCTTTTTTGAGAAGTCCACAAAAGAATAAGGCCTATCAACAAATAAGAATGGGGTAAAATACATCATTCAATGAAATGTAAGAGAAGAGGTTGAATTATAATACCAGAAAGTATCAACTTCCTCATTGTGTATGTCATATGTCTAACGAGAAATCTTCTTAGATATCAACAATCATATGAGACAACCAACAGAGATTCGAAGAGAAACTGATGCTGAGATAAGAATCTATTCATCATATAAGAAAAATCGAATGCAGAAACCACAGGGACAGAAATGGTTTGATCGTCAGCATATTTATTAATGCAATTAGCTTTGGAAAACTGTGGAAGGCAAACTAGATGCTGTTAAAATAACTTTCTTCAAAATAAAAAGTGACTACTTACCAGTAAGGTAATCAATTCATTCAACCGTTCAAGAATATCATATTGATCATCATGTAACCGCCAATTACATTCTTGATCGTTACTTTGACGTGATTCAAAGAAACGAAATTTAATGTTAAGTAAACACCAATCTGGACTTTGTGAGTACTCCTCTTCTGTTTTTTCTACATCAGTCGACTGGAAACCGAAATTCAGAGTAAATATTATGATAATAATAATAATTTGCTTTATTCTGATATAGTACCTGCTATACAGGTCTGTCTGTTTTCAACATAGAAATTTGCACCGATGTGCAGCAGTTCAAGTCGCCGCACTCCCTCCATGTAGCACACAAAGCAAGTGAAGGAAGTAGGAGAAATGCATATTAGAGACAGTAAACAGAGGTGTGAGACAAAGGTATAGTAATAACGAAGAACAAAACAGTTTCATTGGAAATCATAAGTCACAAGGAGTGGATGCATCTGCGCCACAGAACGATTTTGAGACATGTCACCAATTGTTTCCAGCCATTGGTTTTTACCGTCCCGAGGACCCCAATCATTCAGGAAGTCTACACCTTCCTACGTGGCTTAGACTAACTGCTGTAGATTTCATTGACTGGTGCCGCCATGTTTTCGTTTGACCACCGGTAGCTCTTTTCCAACCTAACCCTATGTCAACTAACATTGCCCATCGGTCGAGGAAGGCGATGACTAGGCATACGTAACACATGTCCTAACCATCTCAATCGGTGTAACTTCACAACCTCGTCGATTGGTTTCCCCTCCTTAAGTAGCACTTGACGGATGCTTAACCTCAATATTACTCACCACCACTTAACACGGTAGTTAGAACGCAGGCACCTATGATCAGAGACAGCTAGCCAATCAAGCTTTTCATGTCTTCCACTTTCAATGGCCAGGTCTCACAGCCAGTCATAAAGGAGAACGGAGCGAACCGCTGAGTAGTACACACGCCCTTTGGTCGATAGCCAGCCGGATATCACTTCTATTCCTAAGATGGCGTAAACTGGCAAATGCCACACGAACCTTCTGTATGTGTGCCCGAGATCGCAGTCAAAATAAAACAGGAAGACGGAAGACTAAAGGAGCATGTTTTTTTATTCTACCACCACATATGACATCACTGAAAAGATGTCAAAGGTTTCACTCACGATGAATACTTTCATACACGCGTTGCTAACGCACCAAAGTTTCATAAATCAAGTAACCATTCCAAATTTCCACATTAGTACATGTTCATCTGCGGTTTAATGACAGGCTACCTGCCAGCCATGCGTAAGGTTCAGGTTCAACTCCTAGCCCACGCAATCCTCAACCTTACCCCGGAAGGAAAGAAGACTGGATGTGAGGCTAACAACCCTACTCTTAAAAAACGAACACCAAGGCAACTGAAACTTTAAAATTTGAAGCCCGATGTTCAACTCAGAACGCAAAGAATAAAGAAAGCGTAAACACACACAGGAGATGAGCAAATATTAGTGACCATATTACCTTCCATATTAGTTTGTTTATTAGATGTATCACACAGTGAAACAGTATTATTTACTGGATGACAAGGTTTCGAACAAAATTTATTGTTCATAATCATATCAATTGTAATCACACGACATAGAAACTTGAGTTTTACAGTTTTCTTTGTCTTCTCCTATTTGTCGTCGCAGGGGTAGTAGAATTTCCCAGATGTCCGGCTAGACAGGAGTTCAGTCATTCCTATTACACGTATTCTCAGCCAGTTGATTCGATAAACAAAGCTTCTCTTATCAATCTCCCCTTCCACTCTACTGTGACATTAGATTTTAAAACTGTCATCCTATCCCATCCTATTGTATAGTTGTGTGTAACTGCAAGTAGTAGGTGCTATAGCTGAACTATTCTCTAGATTTCTTACCTTATTCGGGCCAGCCAATCTAGATTTTCCTAGATTTTTATGCTCGGCTAGTCTGTCTACCCCTGTTCTACTAATCTGACCTGACAATCATTGCATGTAGGGTATTAGATAAACTAAATTGTTTTGTTTTAAAGACTCCACAGGATCCTTTAACCAACAGAGCTTGTTACTGAATGAGTGTGTGAGGGGTTTGAATGCCAGTCACTTTTATTCCCGCTTTGTTAAGAATTCTGAGTAATGCTTCCGAGGTTCCTTCCTTGTATGGAATTACTACTGATGATTAAGATTCCTTATTGTTGGTGTTGTCTTGCGCATATTTGACATGCATGTCGTCATTATTATTCTTATTACCATTATTATTATCGTTATTATCACTATCACTTTGTTCGAAACGTCATCAAGTAAATAATACTGTTTTACTGTGTGATACGTCTAATAAACAAACTTATATGGAACTACTTACTACCACAGTGCCCAAGTTTTACACATATATTAACCATATTACCTTCTTATCGGCTTGGAGATTTTCTTTCAAACCTGGTATTACAGAGGATAGCATACCCATCAATGCTGAATACACAAATCCACAATCTGAATAAGAACAATTTGTTGCTAGTCTTATTGTGTCCAGTAGGCGGTATTCGAAATTCTTTGGCAAAATAATATTCCCTTCAGACTTTGCTACTATTAAGGGAAAAAAACCCAGAAAAAAGTAAAATAATCTTTAACATTATTTGTTCTTATAGCAATAAATATGTCGCTCTATCGGATAGACAATATAAAAGTATGCAATAATAATGAATCATCAATACGATAAGGATCGTTGTATCTAGGAGCCCATAAAGAGTGAATGCATTCGCGTCAAAGAAAACGATTTTGTGCCATGTAACCAATAGTCTCCAACCTTTGTTTCTTGGCGTCTCTAGAACCCCAGCCAGGCAGACAACACCTTCCTGCGTTGCTCAATCCAACAGTCACACAAGCAGATTTACACTACTTGGCTACCGCGAATCTGTTGAAGGGGTAAATATAATCAATTCATCTGCCAGGTGTTTACTTGCTCATTTCTCCAATGCATCATTTGGTCTACGTATGAGATTATCTAACCTAGAATCTTAGATACTATGACAGTCAAGAGAACCGCCATATGATTACCACAGAAAGAATTACCTCCATTCTTATAAACTTGGATGATCAAGGATTTACACCGGTCTAATGTAACTATCTCAGCTCCCCACACATCACTTAATATCTTACTTAACCCAGTCAGCAGTTCGTCGGCAATACCATTAAACACCTCTGCAGTCATGCCACAAGGTGCCACCAATTTGCTTAGTCTCAGAATAGAGGTACCTTCTACAAACTCATTACAGTTGGAGGACCAAAGTCCCATTCAGGTCATTGCTAGGTGTTGGGCTGTAAGCCCGTTACACTACTCCTCAAAGTTACCTCCAATGTTAGTCTCTTTTCCTGAAAAATAATCAGAGTCAGCTAATCGGAAACTGTATGACTTATTATTTGTCTTTTACAAGCAGATTCCCTAGAGCGCCTAAATAGTTGTCTGATGTTACCCACCATCGATGATCTTTCCATCTCTTTGACGTTTGTAGCTAATCACTATTCCGGGTTGTCGCAAAGAACTTTATTCAGCTTCCATTTGTACAAATCTTGCTCTTCGTCACGTTTGGAATCTGTCGGTATCAGGGCAACAGTGAGGAATAGACACCAACTGCAGACGATCCTGAAACAGCCAATCAGATTCTTCTAGGTGAGAAGTGGTACTAAATTTACAAAGAAGTGTATCTACGATATATACGTAATAAAAAGGGCATCTATCTCTCATATGTCGCAAAAACTGGCCCCAGATTCTCATAGAAGTGGTTATTGACATATCACCTTATAAAGACTTCCTCATATTAAGTGGTTGCATTCGAATGAGTAACCGTCAGTAACCCGTCAATACTTCTTCAGTCATTATCCCTCCACATACGTGTTTTCTTTCTCCCTACCAACCCATTTTCGACAGAGAAGTCAAAAACCAAATCTAGGAGATATTTTCAACGAGGATTATGACTAACTACCATCTGTAATGCTGAGCTATCTGATTGGTCGAATCAAGGTCACTTGACTCTTGCCGGAGTTAGTCTTCTTGTGTCAAGAAATCCGACCCTCATGCCCAATAGTTGTATTGCATGCTGCTCATTTAGCCTTACAGCACTCGCACTAATTACTATTCTACATTTTTGTGGTGAATTCCGGTTTTACAGAAAATCCTTGTGAGCTCTGAAACTGAAGTTCGCCCGGAAACGTCAAAATGTCATCAGTTCATGCTGGAAGATATTTAAAAAAACTCACTTGCTGCTTGAGTTATACGTTCTTTAGGATCAGTTATCTTTAGCTCAGAAAAGTCTCCAGATAGTTTCACATCATCAGGTGTATGCATGTGTTTCTCTCCGATTATCTGCAACAAACGTCTGGGGATTATGAAATCGCAACTAGAAACAATAATACTCAAGCAAATCCTCCTTCCCCCAAACATTTTCTACCGTTTTATCAGCCAAGTTGACTAATGCTTTTTTAGCACACTCAACTTTGATGTCTTCATCCCCAGTCTGAAATATCAATGTTACATGCAAATATAAAGTACCTCGTATTTTTCGACAAAATTTGATGGAACGCAACCTAAAGTTCCATCTGTCTTACAAACCAAACGCCAATTCTGAATTTCTTCACGAATATCTAAGAAAATTTCATTCTGAGAGAACCTTAAAGTTCCTGGAAAAAGGCCAGGGTAAGCGCACACCGCTCGCAACATTCTGAAAGTTGTGTAGGTCGCACAACATTAAGCATTAAAACAACCATCCAATATCCAATATCCTGATTACGAGCTAGTATAAACCAGTGATTTCTTTGAGCTCGCTTCTTGATTTTAAGGTAGAGGTTCCAAATCTTCGGTGAACTTATGTGTCATAAGTAGACTTCCGACTTTTGAAGGATAGTTTCAAGTCACCTCATATTATTCTATGTATTTTATAGGGCCAGTCTTGTTTGGAATAGAATAAAAAATCTATTTTGTTGGTATTCTAAGAAAATTATTTTTGTTCGAAATTTCATGAATGTGATAAGCTTTTGAACTTTCTTCCAAAGTCAGATAAAATACATTAGTGCCAGTTGCACTGGCTCTAGTGAAATACCAAAGGAATGGCACTCACGCAAATATGACCCACCCTGAAAACAACTGTTGTGGTTAAAAATTTCCTAAAAGCATTAGTCAACTTCATTCGACATTGAGTGCCTACCTACACTGAATAAATGGAATAACCAAGTCGAAGCTACGTTGTGGGGAATCCGCGTTGCTTAACAATCTGTCGTGTTACATCTGGTCGTTCGTACATGAGCCCTAGCCACTGAGGTAATCATCACTTTACCTTTTTGATCCCTGAATATATCTCGTAATCTGGATAATCGTTTGGTTGTTTCTATTGGCCTCCGTTGTCAATAGAACGAGTACTTTGGAAGTTGGAGGATAAACACTTTTATCCGAATACTGCGTATCGTTCGCAACCGTCTTTATCCACCATCTCATATATCACCGTATTACGCGGCAAATTCTATACTTATTTTAATATTCCGGATAAGAGCATTGTGCATGTTGAGGAGGCTAACGAGTGTTTTCCTAAGGATGCGGAAATCTGACACACATTGAAACGCATTCCGTTCTTGAGGTAGGGTGACTGGGAGTAAACAGGATGGTATTACACCTTATGTTGGATATTCGATGAAAAAATTGGGATATAATTTTTAATCACACCTATGTAGGAAAGTCAGCCCCTTCTAATCCGACTTTCTCAGTTGTAACTGGTAGCAGGATCCTCCATTGTTCGACGCGTGCTCGCTTGAATACGACGTGACTTTAACTCCTCTCTAACCGGAAATACCTATTTTGTGAATTACGCTTGGGAACCTGATCTTCCTAGCCGGTTAATTTAACTTTTCAAGACTGAGCTCCATGGACTCTGTTTCGGATGATTTTTATTTTCAAACGCATCTCAGAAAAGCTAATCGATCTACGTAGTCATCATTGGAGGAAAAGTGGCCGAGGTATAACTCCTAGGATTGTAGAACATTCATAAAGAAAAGTAATAATGGTATAAATTTGTTGCTTCTGCTAAATCATGGGATTTTTCTGAGATAACCCTGCAAGTCTCGGTTCAACTTTTATTCGTATTCTTCCCTGTACTGCCTCCAGATTCTACAGTGTTTTGACCAAAACCACTGTAGCTCAGAGGAGATGGGGAGGTACTACAACCTTCTATACTCCGGTGTTATGTATAAACAGCAACGATTAATCATCCTACTGGAATGAATCCAGTAGATGAATTCAGGTGAAGTTATTTCAACTGTATCCTGGGCAGATCACAAGTGGGGTTGTGCAGGACAGTGTCCTAGGGCCACTCCCATTAACACTCAACGTCAACAGCATTTGTAAATGCTTCACCTCAGGTAAACCATTCCCATATGCTGACGAACTCAAAGTCGTTTAATCCTACAGCAGTCATGAATTAAGTAAAAGTAAATAAAATATATCTTGAACTAAGTAGTCTCGCAACACAGTGTGCTGAATCTTTTCTAAAGTTTAACGTCGACAAATGCGGCCGGATTTGTAGTGGCAACAGTAAAATTGAACTAACTCTTGAAGTAAACGAGCAAAAACTAGCCAAGCTCAACTCAGTCGTAGGTTTCGGTGTCATATAAATTAAATAAATAAATTTATTCTCATAGTACAGTACATGAGGGACGCCAGTTTACAGGCATCATCAAATTGTTACAGAAATAGAACCATATAATTCAATCACAATTTACAGGCAGTAGCAAGATATGCTTTACATGTTCGCTGGAGATTATACATACACTTGATAAATGTTAATCCCAGTAGTATAAAACAGCCTTTTCACTTATATACAATCACTTCTATGCAAAGTTGGAAGAATCCGCTAGATTGTCAGTGAGTGCAACACATCAGGAAATGCAGAAGTATTGTCTTCGCATTAACAAAAAACCAGGTCTTTGATGGATGGATTATAAGTGCCTGGGGAAAAAATAGAGTTTGAAGTCAATATTCATACATAACATTTTGTGTGCAGAATCCTCAAATTATAGTTCATTGATGTGTTATTTTGAAATCAGTGATGTGTTTATCTCATTTGATCTGCAATGTCATTGTTGGGAGTAAATACATAATCTTTAGACTCATTAATTAATGGATTTCTACCGCTTGTGGGTATTTTCTTAGCATGAGGAAGGTTTATGAATTTCAGCTATTCCGACAGGAGTTGAGAATATTAACTGCTCAGCAACATTATGGATATAAGTTCATCACATTATCTAAGGAAAGGTGGGTTGCAGTTGGTGAGGGATATATGGTGCCCAACGAGCGTTCATCTGTCCTTGTGATGTTAAGGTGAGTTATACCTTTTTCATGTCGTCGGTTTATGTCCATCTTATTCCACTTATTGTGTTGGGTAGTAGTTTTACAAACGAAATTTCTTGTCTGTTTGAGGATACATATCTTGACCGTTAATCTTTTATCTAGAATTATAAATATAGGCAAAAAACGACAGGTGTAGTATTTAAGCTTATACATTAAATGGACCTATAATTTCGGAGGCTCTCAGATAGGAACTA